ATCTAAAGAAGTTAACGCAGCGTTCGTGAAAAGTGTATCAACCAACTAATTTACGCCACCTCCGCCCAGGGCTAAAACGACACATAGTATACGGTGGCCATTTTCTGCGCCACTGCCCATTGTTTAAAGTATCTTTTTTGATACATCAAATTACTAGTATGAATATTTTAGTATATATTAGATTAGATCGTCTTTAACAATAGACACGAAAGACGAATAGAAATTTTAGCTTTTATCACTGTTTATTTTTAATATATTTGAGCGTTATGGTATGAAAAACGTTTGCCAATATTATTGAATCTCATCAGATACTGGTATTAACAAATCCTCGCCTCAACAAATTAAAAGAAATTTTCGGCCAAGTTGGAAAAATGAGTATTCTTGGCTGGAATATGATGCCCTGAGCAATCTTATGTTTTGCACATTATGTCGTGCTTATAATAAAAAAAATACTTTTGCGACGAATGGCAAGTTTAAATTATTTAAATTATTTTATCGAATATAAATAAGGTTCTAATAAGTAATTTAATTAGGCTCTTCGAACTTTAAACTTTATGCTATAAAAGAGCATGCAAAAACAAGAGATCATTTAAAATCATGTAAAAAAATGAAATTATGAGTGTGCCGCCAGAACATATTATAAGTTTAATGAAAATAGTATATTGTATGGCAAAAGAAGATCTTCCATTAAATAAATTTAAACAGCTTACTCATCTTGGCCGTGCTATTGAAGCCCCACATTTAATTTCCGAAAATCATCCAATTACTTACAAAAATAATATATGTGGCCGTGAATTATTATATTCAATATCTTCTTCAATTGAAGATAATATCTGGAAAGAATTATCTCTTGCATCAGCCATTGGAATAATAGTTGATGAGAGTACCGATATTGATATGGAGTCACATCTTATAATTTATGTTAGATATTTTATTAATGGTGTTATAAAAATACGGTTTTTAAGCTTGTTAGAAATTGAAAATAAAGATGCAAAATCAATATATAGTGTAATAACTAAACCATTTATTGCAAATAGTAAGTTAATTATATAGCTAATTATATAGCATCGAATAATTTTTAATATAAAAAATTAACCTAAATTATTTTTTATTTAAATAGAAGTAGATCATAAAATTTTTTCATTTACTTCAGATGGCGCGAGTGTAATGCAAGGAAAAATTTCAGGAGTTGCAACATGAATGACTAAAGTAAACCCATATATACATTCAACACACTGTATCACGCATAGATTATCCTTGGCATGCGAATCTGCTGAAAAACAGGTTGAATTTTGTATTTATGCCAAATCAGTGTTAAAAAAAATTTATGCTTTTTTTAGCAATTCAAGCAAACGAATCCAAACTTTATCTACATATCAAGAAACCCTTAATAATCCTCAATTAAAAATTTTAAAAATTTTTGATGTTCGGTGGCTTTCTTTATATGAGGCAGTTAATAATATTTGTTTTTCAATTGAACCTTTACTTGACACATTTCTTCATACTATAAGTGAATCAAAAAATCAAAAAACTCAAAATTCAATTTTTGATTTATATTCAGATCTTTGGA